CAGAGCCACAATGTTTTGCTTCGTGGCCATGTCATTTCTAACTCAAGCTGCAGAGTTTTCCAGACAGCTCAATGGCTTGTCATACCCACAGCTCAATGGCTTGTCATACCCACAGCTCAGTGGCTTGTCATACCCACCCATTGAGACCTGCAAGATGTCAGGTGTCGGGGGCCGCAGTAGTGCCTCCTAAATGCCCATGGACTGCTACTATTTTGCCCTCTAAATAGCAATCCATTGTGGATCGATTTTTTTTTTTTTTTTTTTTTTTTTTTTTTTTTTTTTTAGGGCAATACGCTTATCACATCTGAAAAAAACCTATTAAAGTATGTAAATCACTGAAAATAATGTGCAACAAGTGCTAGAAATGTGCTATTATTAACTGACTGACCTATACAGATAAAAGCAAGACATAAAGTATACAATCCATATAAGAAATTGTGATCATTTCATAAGCTATAAAGCGCATGTGTCGAAACTAAGGTGCTACACTGCAGATGTCCCTTTTGGAGTGCTTCATACTACTGATTCAAGCTCTCGTTTCTTGGATTTTAAGGGTATAAAGTCATCCGAGTGTTGATTAATGTACGTGTAGCGCTACTCTTTTGGGGGCCGCTGTGTTTCGGGGTCCCCCTAAGCGTCACACAGCCAGGCAACACACATTTTACACATGTGCATCTGCAGTAAGTGAACGGTCAATGAGCTTGGTTTTTGTTATTTTATTAGGGGAATATAACTTGGATGAGGTAATAGGGATTATGGAATGCCCAACTTGACTGAATCAATGCATGGGGACAACGTCCTTCCTATTTAGAGAAATATATCCTGGACTGTTCTTCTTGAATGTGGTCAGTCTTTATGGATCAGTAGCAAAAGCTCCTTACGGGCTAGGGACTCTCTGCACCTCTGAAAGTTAGCACAGCTTGTTGTAAACTACACACAGAGATGTCTCCTCTCTCCTGTATAATTGCTCCCAGCTCCATAGCCTACAGATACTATCAGTCCTCCTGGCTGCTCTGAAGATCCTTTGAAAGCTTACCACATGTTGCAGTCTCTTTGTCGCCTCACTCTGTCCTCTTTGCTCCCAGGCAATCCTACTGTTCATGCCGTGATGCTGAATGGATCCTCCTGAGCCCAGCCTGGAGGCCAAGACCCCCCTAAACCTTGGGGACCCCTCTCTGGCCACAGACAGCCTCCTCAGCACTACATCTTCTGCCCAAATCTCTCTCATACACTACCATTGCTTCTAAACCTGGAATTGGACAGACTGCCATAAACATGCAGATTTAGGTCTCCACTCCTCTGCCCACTGGCTTCTGGAAGCTTCCATGGTCCACCAGAAACAGGTGGAGGCAATAGATTCCCAACCTGCTTAGTCACCCAGCCTGACCTGCGGTAATCCGTCCTAATTGCAGGCTCACACAGTTACCGTGAGTAATAACATAATACATTTACCTACGGTAACAGTAGCACACTAGAGGGTGCTACACACGTTGTTTTCACTTTTCATGCTGTTTTTATTTTTTTCTGCATTTTGCACTTTGTTGGTTGTGGGCTATAATTGAGAGGGACTTGTTATACAGTCTGTAGTTTAACTGCTTCCGTGCCGCCCTATAGCAGAAATACTGCTACAGGGTGGAATGTGTGCGCAAAATCACAAATTTATACGTGATTTTGCAGTTCCGGGTAGGGGGCGTGCGCGGCCTTGGCTGTCGCTCACCGGGTCCCTGCCAGTGATTACTTACCGGCACCTGGTGATCACCGAGTATCTCTGACGGCAGAGAGACCTGTGTATAAACAACACAGACCTCTCCCCTGTAAGCTCCTGTACACTGCTTCGTATGGCTATGAATAGCAGAGCCATACAAAGAAATGTGCTTACAGTGAAGCACACACACAGCCCACATTGTGAAACAGCACACAGTTAAACCTTTGATCACCCCAGATGTTAACCCCTTCCTGCCCAGTGCCATTAGTACAGTGTCAGTGCTTTTTATTAGCACTTGCACTTTATTGGTGTCACTGGAGATGTCAGTGACACCAAGTCAGTTCCCCTCAGTGTCAGAATGCCCACTGCAGTCCTGCTATAAATCACTGATCGCCGCCATTACTAGTAAAAAATAAATATTTTTTTTTTCTAAATTACAATATATATACACCGCTATTTGTAAACACTATCAATTAATTAATTTACACGTGGTGGGATTTTTTTTTAGAAAAGGCATGTAGCAGAATACATTTTGGCCTAAATTTATGATGAAATTTGATTTTTTTAAATTTTTTTTACTGGACATGTTTAATAGCAAAAAGTCAAAAAATATAAAAATATGTTTTTTTGTCAAAATTGTGGGGTCTTTTTTTGTTTATAGCGCAAAAAAATTAAAAACACATAGGCGATCAAATACCACCAAAAGAAAGCGTTACATGACGGCACAATTGTCAGTTAAAGTAACTCAGTGCCAAAGTTAAAAAAAAAAAAAAGGCCTGGTCATGGGATCTGGATCAGCTTTTGTTCGAGAAGGCAATAATTGCCACTTTGCATTGTGCCTCAGTTCAGTGTATTTGTAGACATTTGCACAAATAGTAAATTCTTAGAGATTAGTGGCAGCCTTTATGACATTTACCATTTTTGCTTTTTTTTTTTGCTAGCATTTGCTTTAGCTGTAGCTTGTTTAATCTGTGTGCAGCTAATTTCTTTCTCCTCAGATATTATTTTTTGCATTTATTACTTTATTACCAGGTATTCATTTTTTTTTTTTTGCATATTTATTGCTTTTTGACTATCCACAATTACATTGTTTTCTTTTCAATACTGTAATAATTCAATTACTGTGATCACTGTATATTGTATGATGAGACATTATTATGACTTCACTTTTTACTCCTATAAGTGTCTGACCAACTCCTGTTTGCTTTCTTGCTGTATTTACCAGCACAACCAAGAATGATGCAAGTTATTTTAATACATAATTGTCACACATGATACACCATATAGTAATATTAGAACAGTTATTGATTTTTTTGTGTTTTTCAACTGCCATAAATGTCAAGCATTTGTTCAGGTAAAATGTTTTATCTGTTCCTGAGTGTATTAGAGCTATATCAGTCAGTTTGTTAACTTGCTAATTCTGTTTACTTTTATGCAGTGGCAGATGTCCAAGGGCATTGAGTCTGCAAGTCCTGAAACAGCAAGGTTTCGATGAGGAATGCCCTGTCCCTCCTACACACGTTCACAATGTCACAGTTCCAGGTGCTGCAGCTGCCTGGGCTGATACCATTGACCTCTTTGGCAGCCAGAAGGTAATATGCTCCATTCAGCATAGAACTGAGGTGTTCACAACAACTCTGGCTTATCATAGGGCTCATTTGCAAAAGAACATTTGTAACATTGTGCAGCATGGTATGCTACAGTGTAGGCAGCCCACAAAAGTTAGATGGCCATCACATATGCAGGCATGAACCAACTGCCTCCAAGGATGTAAAGTGCTCTGTAAACCTGCCAACCAAGAAGAGCGGCTGGCATTCTCCCAATCAGGGCAAATTACAAGTTCTCTTGCTAGACAATCCTCCAAATCATCAATTGCGTTCGCTGTGCTCACCTTTTCGTTCCTCCACTCGAACTGTTTGGAGTACACACTGTCTATGGATATGGGAGAGCACGTGACCATCTCCCCTTCCTCCCATAATGCTCAATTACTTAGGGCTGAGTGGGCCAATTGCCAGGCCTGACCACTGTTAGAGAAGAGAGTGGAGCAGGTCACTAACCATGTGTGAGCACTGCCTGACATGTAGATTACACGGGGTTTATAGTGGTACTGGTTCTTCTGGGGGCAGATCTACCTGTAGACCAGAGGTGTCAAACTGGCAGCCCTACAGCTGTTGCAAAACTACAAGTCCCATCATGCCTCTACCTTTTGGGAGTCATACTTGTAACTGTCAATCTTGCAATTCCTCATGGGACTTGTAGTTTGGCAACAGCTGGAGGGCCACCAGTTTGACACCTGTGCTGTGCACTTAGCTGCAGCATTGTTTTTTTTTGGTTTTTTTTTAGTTTCCGTGGTCCTTCAAAATTAGTACATTGCACAGTGTAGTCACATATAGCCATGTGGTTTCACAACTACTTTGATCACATCTGACAGGCTTTCTTGTGAGCCCCCATGCCCCAAAAAATATCTAGGATACTCCAGTTTATATTTGTACTGATTACCAAGCACATGAGCACCAAACTCTCTTATAATGTCATCCAGAATTTTTGAGGTCACAAATTCTTGTCTATGCATGTAACACTGAAGTAGGCCCTTTAACCCATTCAGTGGTGGTCCTTGTTTACCAGAATAGTGGCCCAAGGGACATTTTCTCCTTGTCTATTTCCTTGCCAGTTCTACACTTGTAACAAGGAGTGTGAGAAAGTAGGGTGTATCTATGACCTGCCATATGTAAGCAGAATAACTTATGGACATATGCATGAATAGGTACTTATACAACAACATAGTCTATAAAAGCAATGTTGTTACTTCAACTAATTGTAAACTGAAACGGTCACTCACTCTATGTACTCTCTATAGCTGACCCTGGCAGAGATCCTACAGCCGGCCATTGAACTAGCAGAGTCAGGCTTTCCTGTGTCTGAAATTTCTGCTTTCCTATGGAATGCCACAGCCAACAAGCTCCAGGCTGCAAACAACAAATATGGTACAGAACTGCTGATCAATGGACAAGCTCCACACCACGGACAACTCTTCAGAAATCCCTCACTAGCAAACACATTCAAGGTATTTTTTTTGCTTTCAGCATGTGACATAACAAAAAGTAAATGCAGTGTCTACAGTACAAATCTAATCACATTCTGTTACAGTAGATTTAAACCCATTCACTCTTATAAACTAAAAGCCTAGTACACATGGTGAGAATATCGGACGAATGATCGACATTTTTTTTGCATGCTAGTCTCATATCGAAAACAGGTTACTAGAGTTACGAAAAATTCTCGAAAGACAGAAAAAAACTTTCTGCAAAGATGTAATGTGTATTGTACTGCATTTTTTCATTTCTGAGTATGCACGGATCTTGGTCACTTAATTTTTTAAGTACAAATACTTTTGCTGATTAAATGAAAATCTGTTATCTTACAAGAAAACATTTTGGGCTTGTCCCTGCAGATAATTTTGCTTGAACTGTCGTGACCAGCTCTCGAAAGCTGTGTACTAACAATCAGATTATCGTATGATCACTCCGAAAAGGTTTTTTTTCGGCCAATTTTCTGTGTGTACTAGGCATTAGCCTGGGTTCACACTATAGCTCGCATGTGAATCACACAGGTACCGCACCACACTCAAATCGCACAGCATAGCACAAAAAACAAGCAGGCACCTTTTTTAAGTCAAGAAAAAATAGGAAAGCGCTTCAAAGTGCAGTAGTCAACAGCGATTTATTATACAATAACAGTTAAAACACTCAAGATCATAGTATATAACAGGCTTATCATTAGTTAATCCCTCCACAGCTTCTGTCTCTGTATCTTCTCTCTGTTGCCAACCAGCAGCTGTAGGGGGAGGTAGGAGCGCAGGCCAAGATGGCCACTACAGCATCGGAACCACCATGGAACACACTGTGTGTGGTGTGACTACGTCAGGAAGGGGTGGTGATGTGTTTTGGAGCATGCCCAGATCAGCTCCTTCTTCAAGACCAAGCCTACCTGTATTGAGCTGACTTATATACAGAAAAGGGGCTGGAGATGACTGGTGAAAAGGGGCGGCTCCGTGCAATAGGCACATATCAGCAATGGTAAAAATTGACAGTAGACTCTTCTATGCACAGTAAATTATGCACAATGCAATGTACAGTAAATAAATCATAAAAACAATAAATAATAATAAAGGTAAATAATAGCATAATCGAGGACAGTGAAACAAAGTGAGCACCATACAACAATATTAGAAATAAACCGGTGTATTTCACCCCACGCACTGCGTGCATTCCACTGTGGTTCCGACGCTGCGGTGGCCATCTTGGCCTGCGTTCCTACCTCCTACAGCTGCTGGTCGGCAACAGAGAAGATACAGCTACAGCAGTCATGGAGGGATTAACTAATGATGAGCCTGTTATATACTACAATCTTGTGAGTGTTTTTAATGGTTACTGTATAATTAATTTGCTGTTGACTACTGCACTTAGAAGCGCCTTCCTATTTTTTTTTTTTGTATAAAGGAGCCTGCTTCTACTTGCAGAAATGCTGCAATTACAGCCTACCACAGTGGTCTCTGTCCCCTACATAAGTAGGTTCTACCGCATGGATGCACCCTGTGACTACACACTGACCTTTTTTAAGATGAACTGGAACCAGATCGGATGGTTGTTTGGTGTCATGTGATCTGGTGCAGGCAAATGCACTGCTTCTGCGACCTGCTTTCGAGGTGTTATAAACTTGGAATTGGCACCCGCAGCAGATCACAAAACACAGTGCAGGAAATGCACAGGGAGCGCAGCATTTCCCGCAGCAGATATATGTGAACCAGGGCTTAGCATGTTAATGCAATATCAAACGTTGTATTTAAATTTGCAGTCTTCAGTAAAGAATGCTTGGTGATCATGAGGGTCCTTGTTCAGGTACTTCCAGTGATTGGGTGACAGCTGTATCCCATTTGTGCTCCTATGTTGTTCCCCATCACATGTGGCCCTGGTGGACATACTGCATGCTACTGTGCAGGAATCTGCTCCTGAGCAATGATGTGCAGCTGGATTGTGCACCTATTTATTTTATTATTTAGTACAGGTACTTATATAGCACCGTCAATTTACGCAGCACTTTACATATATATATTGTACATTCACATCAGTCCCTAACCTCTCAAGGGGTGTACAATCTAAGGTCCCTAACTCACATTCATACATACACATACTAGGCCAATTTAGACAGGATCCAATTAACCTACCAACATGTCTTTGGAGTGTGGCAGGAAACCAGAGTACCTGAAGGAAATCTTCACAGGCACAGGGAGAACATGCAAACTCCAGGCAGGAGGTGCCGTGGCTGGGATTCAAACCAATGACCCTAGTACTGCCAGGCGGAAGTGCTAACCATTTAGCACTTGAGTGTATGTAGACAGGCACTTTTTCATGATAAATAACACACAGCAAAATTCAGTTAGAGTTTAGAGGATCTACTTTAATTCACAAGAAAGCTTTGGGCAAGGGGAATTTTCTGCTTAGAATCTGATTTCTTTACTATAGCTACATGGACAGGGTAGTTATGTTTTTGTTCCAGCAATATAGTTTACATTTTCTGCAGCTGATGCATTTATAGGACTTCTGCTCCTCCTGTGTTAAGGTGATTTTCCCTTTTGTCATCATTTTCCTGAGCTATTATTAGTTCCACCTTGTGACCGGCTAATGAGAGCTTGTTCATCTCGTCAACTTGGGATTTCAAGATACTTTTTATGGAGTGCTGATGATATGCAAGTATGTTTGTGTTTCATAATCATACTTCATGGCTCCTAAAATGGTTGTTTTGGCAGAAGGTTTGTTAGCTTATGGCATCCTATTCAGTAAGGTAAAGAACTTTCTGCATGCAGCTTCCCCTGCAGTCCCCCCTAAATACATACCTGAGCCTGATCTCAGTCCAGAGATGTGCACAATAGCCGAGTCTCTCTCCACTCTTTTGCTCTTCATCGGTTTAGATACAGCAGCAGGAGCCAATGTCAATGTGTCAATCATATCCAGTGATGAGGGAGTGGGGGTTGGAACCGAGCCCCACTCTGTAGTAGGACTAGAGAGAGCTTGCACGAGTGCCCCCATAGCAATCGGCTTGCTGTGGGGGCACCCAGTGGGGGAGAGAAGCAAGGAGCATCAGTGGGGGACCAAGAAGAGGAGGATCAGGGCTGCTTTTGTGCAAAACCATTGCAAAGAGCAGGTAAGTATAACATGCTTGTTATTTCAACCACTTGCCTACCGGGCACTTTTACCCCCCTTCGTGCCCAGGCCAATTTTCAGCTTTCAGCGCTGTCGCACTTTGAATGACAATTGCGTGGTCATGCAACACTGTACCCAAACAAAAGTTTTATAATTATTTTGAGAAAGATAGAGCTTTCTTTTGGTGGTATTTAATCACCACTGAGGTGGTTTTATTTTTTCTTAGTTTCTGTTTTAAAATTTTGTAAATAAGTAATTTTTCTCTTTTACTGATGTGTGCTAATGAGGCTGCAGTGATGGGAATTGATAGGTGGCAATAATGGGCATTGATAGGCGGCACTGATGAGGAGGCACTGATAGGCGTCACTGATGGGCATTGACAGGCATCACTGGTGGGCATTGACAGGCATCACTGGTGGGCATTGACAGGCATCATTGATGGGCACTGAAAGGCAGCACTCATATATGGCACTGATAGGCAGCACTGATAGACGGCACTGATAGGCAGCACTGATTGGAACTGTTAGGGGGCACTGATAGTCGGCTCTGATGAACACTGATAGGTGGCACTGACTGGCACTGATTGGAATTGTTAGTGGCACTGATGGGCATTGATAGATGGCACTAATTGGGTATTGACAGGCATCGCTGATGGGCACTGAAAGGCAGCACTCATATATGGCACTGATAGGCAGCACTGATTGGAACTCTTAGGCGGCACTGATTGGCAACACTGATGGGCACTGATAGGCAGCACTGACTGGCACTGATAGGTGGCACTGATTGGAATTGTTAGTGACACTGATGGGCATTAATAGGTGGCACTGACGAACACTGATAGGCTGCACTAACTGGCACTGATAGGTGTTACTGACTGGCAACACTGATGGGCACTGATAGGCGGCACTGACTGGCACTGATAGATAGGCAGCACTGATTCGAACTGTTAGGTGGCACTGATGAGCACTGATAGGCGGCACTGACGAACACTGATAGACGGCACTAACTGGCACTTATAGGTGGCACTGATTGGCAACACTGATGGGCACTGAATGCAGCACTGACTGGCACTGATAGTTGGCACTGAAATAGCTCTGATGGCATTGATGTTCACTGATATGTGGCACTGATGGGCACTAGTATATGGCATTGATGGGCACTGACAGGTATGGGCTGACAGGTGGCATGGGGCTACGCTGATCATCAAGGCACTGATGATCAGTGCCCTGATGATAAGTGTACATGTCCCCTCTGAGGAATGCCGCTTACCGGCTCTCTTCTCCTCATGTGTTGTCAGCGTGAGGAGAGGACTGCTGATACCTGGCATTTCCTTTTTACATGCGATTAGCTGTGATTGGACAGAGCTGATCACATGATAGAGCCAATGTCATCGGCTCTTTATAGCGATCGGTGATCCGCTGTGTCCCAGGGAGCAGCTAAAGTGGGGAGGACATCATAGGATGTCCTCCCAGAACGAGACAGCCACCGTCCATCCGTCATTTCCTTATATGGCAGGCGGGAGGCAGTTAAAGGAAAAAAATCAAGCTTTTAGTATTGCTTTAAAGCAGGGGCGGACTGACCATTTGGAAACTTGGGCACTGCCCGAGGGCCCGGGTCAGTAGGGGGCCCCATGAGATGCCCCTGGTACCTTTTTCATAGGCTTTTTTGAGTTTGGGCAAGGACACAGGGGCCCCATGATCCCCTATGGCCCGGGGGCCCCATGAGTTGTCAGTCCGCCCCTGCTTTAAAGTATATCTATATACAACCATTTTTTTTTTTTTTTTTTTTTTGGATAGAGTGAAGAAGGGTGAGAACCTTTGTCAGGTTTTACTGCCTTCTGGAGCTTCATTGAAGAGAAATGTACTCTCTGTTTTGAGCACAATGTATTACCAAGCAGGAAGTGAGATAAAATCTAAAGAAGGCAACAATATAGCTCTCATAGGGGTTCTATTGTCCCCCTAAAAAAAAAAAAAAAAAAAAAAACGTTTTTACTTCTGCCTTCAATGATGTTTAGGAGTTCCCCTCACTTCCTGTCTAGTGAATAGCTGGTCACCTGACAGTGAGTATAAGGAAATATCTTTAAAAACTCCAGACAGCAGTAAAAACGGATGGGTCCTAATCCTTCCCCACTCTATCCAAAAC